AAACTGTCAAGCCTTCCCATGGGGGGAAGCAGCTCCCCGGCATATGTGGGGGAGGGAAGAGGGCACTCCAGAGCATCCACAGGCAAGAGGCAGGCTGAGAAACATCCCGGGCTTTGGCATGGCTTCCGATTTCCAGCTTTGTAGCTGTTCCAAGGGCTAAAAAAATTGCCCATCCGATGACCTATTTCTCAGTCTGGTTGCTGAAATCCAGCAGGATCTGATTTCAGCATCCAGACTGAGAAATAGGTCATTGGATGGGCAAGTAGGATCTGAAAACCTCAGGAGCGGACCTCAACAGATGGGAAACCTTAACATCTGACCCTTCAGCCTGGAGGCAGGCGGTGCATCACCGCCTCCCCAATTCAAAGAGACCCTTGCAGCAAAATCCGGGAGTTGGACAGGGGACGGATTGTATTTATTCTCAGTGTGGAAGGGATGGTCACTCTCGAATTGGCCTCCTCAGCCACGCTAGACGCTGTTCCAAGTCCCCCATACAGAGCACGTTACCCTAGTCTCACGAGACTGAAGGATGCTTAATCATGCTGAAATCAATCTTGTGAGGCATGACATTACATATGAAAGGGTTGGAACCTTAATTTGGGTTGTATGGACAGAGTCCCAGGCCCAGATCAGCTGAGAGATCACCTTCCTGGCTTGACAAGCCAGAAATTGTTTACCTGGCCTATTGAACATAAATATTTGCTAGATCTCAAGAATTTCTTTTTAAAAAAGGAGCCCGCAAGGCAGGCGAAGGTCCCAAGAAAGGCTGCCACATTGCCATTGAAAGAACTGTTCTACTTAACATGGATAAACATAAAACATTATTTGCCAAGCTAGTTATTTTGAATTTCTGACACTGCAGATGGCACAACCACAAACTCAATTTTCTATCTGCTAACTCCCAAGAAAGCAGAATAAAACTGAGACACTCCAGGGAGAGCTGGTGGAAGTCAGTCAAGAAAAGGTCTACTGGAGAGATAAAAGGGGAGATTAAGTCAGATAAGCGATTAGCCATTCTCATTGGGGGGGCATATGGCCTCTTGGGGGTCCCTGGGACATCTAAATGGTACCAGACTGGAAACAGTTCTCCACAGCACCTTGTAAGATTCCTTATTCAACTGAGTGTCCTGATTTGGCCAATGTCTTTCATGTTTTTATGGCCGCTGCCAACCAAGAGTTGAGAAGGGCCAATTTAGATTAACAGCAGGAAGAGGCCTGGAGCAGCCCCGGGGAATTCCCCATTCAGAAGCACCATGTGCTCAAGGTAAGAGGCATATCCTGAGAAATGCTGACAGCAGTAAGTAGCAGCTGTGAGCACTGGGGGGGGCCCTTCTTGTTTGTGGACTCCTAATACAAGACAGCAGAGAAACAAAGCTGAGAGAGACCCTAGAGAGCGAGCACCCACCAGGAAGAAAGCTAACAGGAGTTTGATTGACAGAGGCCCTAATAACATTTTCAATTTGAGGGTAGTTGTAGGTAAATGGACTTTCCCAACATCCTTCCAGATAGAAAAGAAGCAAAGAGCACTCATAGTGAAAAGGTAACAAGGACTAGAGTGAAGATTCAACAAATGCTGTTATATTTTACTAAACATTTCCACGCCCTCCCATCATTCTAAACCACATACTAAAATAAAATGCAGAAAAACATTTGGGAATGCAACAACTTTATTGAAACAAGGTGCAGAGAAGTTTATTTGGGTGGTTTTAAGCAAGCATTAACTTTAAATACCACCCCTCAGGCGCAGGACAAGGTGGAGGGTGGACTCCTTCTGGATGTTGTAGTCGGAGAGGGTGCGGCCATCTTCAAGCTGCTTGCCGGCAAAGATCAGCCTCTGCTGGTCAGGAGGAATACCTTCCTTGTCCTGGATTTTAGCCTTGACATTCTCAATGGTGTCACTCGGCTCCACCTCCAAGGTGATGGTCTTGCCAGTCAAGGTCTTCACAAAGATCTGCATCCCACCTCTCAGACGCAGGACAAGGTGGAGGGTGGACTCCTTCTGGATGTTGTAGTCAGAGAGGGTACGGCCATCTTCCAGCTGCTTGCCGGCAAAGATCAGCCTCTGCTGGTCTGGGGGAATGCCTTCCTTGTCCTGGATTTTAGCCTTGACATTTTCAATGGTGTCACTCGGCTCCACCTCCAGAGTGATGGTCTTGCCGGTCAAGGTCTTCACAAAGATCTGCATCCCACCTCTCAGACGCAGGACAAGGTGGAGGGTGGACTCCTTCTGGATGTTGTAGTCGGAAAGCGTACGGCCATCTTCCAGCTGCTTGCCGGCAAAGATCAGCCTCTGCTGATCTGGGGGAATGCCTTCCTTGTCCTGGATTTTAGCCTTGACATTCTCAATGGTGTCACTTGGCTCCACCTCCAAGGTGATGGTCTTGCCAGTGAGGGTTTTCACAAAAATCTGCATTTTGCCTGCTAACAGTTAAAAGAAAAAGGAGAAACAATCCAGTTTTTAGGGAAAAAAAATCGGTAAGTTCAGGAGGGCCGGGCAGCCGCAAAAGCACCAACCGCAGCCAACGGAGGCTCCACCCTCCCTTGGACTCGGCCAGGTAGCAAGAGGCCAGCAGGCTGCGCGCGCAGCTCCCTACCTACCAGGCCACGTGACGTCACAGAACCCAGCGGCGTCACGGAAGGGCGGAGCCTCCTAGGCGCCACTCCTCCCCCCCGCCCTCCTTCCTCGGCGGCCATTTTAGGTGGCGGTCCCTCTCCGCCACCTCAAACCCACCCCCTCCCTCCTCGACCGGCAACTCCCAGCCTGAGGGGGAAACACGGTCTCTTTCGCTCCTCTTTTTTTCCCACAAGGTTCTCCTACACTTAAAATTAAAAATTATCAGAATAAAGCCTCCCCCGGTCCTCGGCACGGTTCGGTTTTTTTTTTTCCCCACAAGGTTCTCCTACACTTAAAATTAAAAAGTATCAGAATAAAGCGTCCCCCGGTCCTCGGCACGGTTATCGGTCAGGCCCAACCGCTTTTGAACGGCCTCCCCCTCAGTTTACGCGGTCTTCTGTGGCCCGCCGCTTCATAAACTTCAGCCTTACGAGCCCCAACTGTCGCCCCCAATTACCCTTTCCTCACCGAGTCACCGCATTAACACTATATAGTTATATAAATATATAATATAAAGTCAAAACACCCACCACGGAGCTCGAGCCGGACCCAAAAGAGAAGAACTCATACACGAGAGGCGAACTGGTCTAACTACGCCACTGCCCGTGACGCACCCTTATATAACTTCCCACGACGACGATTCCTCCGCCAAGCCGGGAACAGGGACTATATATCCCGTTCCGCGCGTGCGCGCCTCCGCCGCTCGCCAATCGGGTGAGAAGAAACCCGGGGCTGGGGCATTTGGAGCTCCGCCTTCTGCCGGCAGAGGAACGCGGAAGGATAAAATGGAAACACAAAAAAAAGTCCGAGGGGAGGGGCGTAAAAGGAAAAGCGAAAGGGAAGTTGGCTGGAATGAAAACCGGGGGTGGATCGCTTCTCCTTAGCTGGAATGGGTCGCGGGGAAAAAGCTGGTGCTAAGGCCACACGCTGTGTGTAAATGCACGGATTGTGGGGTTTTGAGGGGAGAAAAAGCCGTTAAAAAAAAGAGGAGGGAATTACATGTCCGCTTGTGAGAGTTCAAGAGCGCTAGTCCCTGCTGTTGAAAGCAGCAGGGAAAGAGGAAGACTGAATATGTGCGATGCCCGGATCCCATGAAAGAAACCATGGCCTTCAGCCTTACCTCTTGATGGCAGGAAATAAGGAAGAATCCCGGTCACGATCGATGGGGCCCAACCTAACAGGGTGGTTGTGAACATGAAACAGACCCGAGGAAGCCTGTCATACCTTTTCAGAGCTTAGAAGTAGAATAAGAGGGAAACAAATAGGGAGGGGAAAACTGAGAGGCCATTATTTTAGCCCTAGCAAAAAACAAATTCAAAGTGTTGTGATACTTTTAAGACAACCGAGTCTAGTTTGGTGCGAGCTTCCCTGCACGACCATCCACTTTTTCAGACACAGAAATTCAACATATTATCGTATTTTCCCATGTATAAGATGCCCCTATGTATAACACCCCCCCCCCACTTTTCTAATGCAAAATTAAGAAATCTAAGTGGGGCTTAGCAAGTG